TATATTAAAATGATAAATAAATTGGATATTTTGCTAGAACAAACATACATTACCAAAACTCATACCAGTTGGAATATAAAGGAATATAACTTCAAAACCATATCCATTGAAAAAGTAAAGCACTATATCTACATTGATGCCAGACCTTGGAGGTTTCATAAACAAATTGCAATACAAACTTATATATAATAGCTTTTATAGATTATATATTTACACCAAAATTTAATATATGGCTCCAAAATACTGAAAAAAAAAAAAAAAAAAAACAAGCTTCTTAACACTTTCATACCAAGGTCACTATAACTCTGTAACAATGAAAAGAAATTATATATATATATATAGGCTAATCCCATTTATTAGAACAGTAGTTAAAAAGGCTAAAATTGGGGTGCCTGGGTGGCTCAGTTGGTACAGCATCTGACTTTGGCTCAGGTCATGATCTCACGGTCCATGAGTTTGAACCCCGCGTCAGGCTCTGTGCTGGAGCCTGCTTCGTATTCTGTGTCTTCCTCTTCCTGTACCTCTCCTCTGCTAACGTTCTATCTCTCTCTCAAAAACGAATAAACATTAAAAAAATGTTTTTAATGCTAAAATAGTAGTAAATGATATATTCTGCATTGTAATAAAAGAATAATGTAACACAATAAGTAGGGTTCATTTTTATCAACAAAATTATAGTTCAATATTAGAAAGACATCAATAGAATTTCCTTAAGTAATTGCTTCAAGATGAAAAATATATTCATTTTAATAGATGATGAACAATTATTTTATATAATTCAACCTCCATTTCTAATAAAAACAACTAGAAGTCTCAGAAACTTAGAACAAATATTATTCTACTTAACAATGAAACTTAAAAGAATTCATGAGAAAATCAAGAACTTATTCAAAGATCCCCATAATTATTATTCAATATAATCAGTGATTGTGATCGGTCCAATTAAACAGGGAAAAGAAATAAAATGACTAGGGATGCCTGGGTGGCTCAGTCGGTTAAGCCTCTCTTCTGACTTCGGCTCAGGTCATGATCTCATCATTTGTGAGTTTGAGCCCCACATCAGGCTCTCCACTCTCAGCACAGAGCCTGCTTCAAATCCTGTCTCCCCATCTCTCTGCCTCTTCCTCGTTTGCTCTCTCTTAAAAATAAAAATAAACATTAAAAATTTTTTTAAAAAATGACTATTTTAAAGATTGAGTAAAGAAAACTTTCACTATTTCAGATGATATCTATAAATTATGAAATCAAATGAAAAGTTCTTAGAAGAAGAATTTTCAGAAAGGAAGCTATAAAATATACTCTCGTGAGAAATCCAAAAATTTACTTCCCTTACAGTGCCGCAAAAACAAACTAGAAGGTATCATAAAAAAAATCTACCATTAAAATATCAATGAAAACTATTAAGTTCCTAAGTAATTAATCAATAAAAAATGTATAAGAAAGAATATTATGAACTTTTATTGAAGAACAGAAAACATAAATAAGTGGAAGGACAATTACTATTTCTCAGTGGGAAGAGTCAGTATTTTAAAATGTGGATTTTCTCCCCAACATTAATCTTTAAATTCAATCAAATTCTTAGTGAAGTCCTAACAACATTTATTTAATGGCTGGTTATAGAGTCATCCTAAGCTCATTTGGAAGTAAAAATTCCTGAGAAGAAAGAAAATTTTGATCCAGAACAAGGGTGAACACACCCCAACAGACATCAAAAACAAACCACAGAGTCATAGTAATTAAGACAGACCCCATACATACAGAGGTTTCAATTATCATAAAATAACATTTTTAATGTACATAAAAGATGAAAGATTGAAAAAAAAATGATCAAGCCAAGGTTATCCTTTTGGAAAAGACCAAGTTAGGCTATCTACTTTATACCATTTCACAACGTAAACTCCAAGGGCAAGTTGTTGGGGCCCTCTGAAGTCTTGAAGATGACAATGAAATGTCCTTGGGAATTCACCCTGCCAAGTAAGATATACTTTACAGAAGTCATGGCCAGGACCCCTGAAGTCCTTGCTACCACTTCACTGAATTACTAGAAATCTTACCATCTAGAAGAAACTGCAGAACCAACCTGGGTGCCAATGCCTCCTTATAATCAAGAAGCGGAGAGGTCAAAATGTATTTCCCCGGTGGTAAGAAGTTCTAGAACGATTTTCAGTATAGGTGCAGTAAGGGTTAAGTTCTCTTCTCTCTAGCAACTAGCCAATTTGTTCAACATTTCTAAATAAAGATATCTGAGTAACAAACCATCCAAAATAAGTCACACTGGAGACTGATACAAATCAGATTTTTTTGAGTCTCAATACTGCTGACACTTTTATTTATATCATAATTAGCATTCAATCAGTTTTCAGAAAAAAAAAGATTTAGTTTTTTTTCTTTCCTTTTAGAAAATCTGAATGATTAACTTACTCCAGGAAACACTATAACTGCTACACAAGACCACTGTCTTTCTCTTATACTCTCAAGCTTTCAAGTATCCTATTTGCAGACAATATATGCCTAACAAGGATTTGGTGAATGAATGAATGGATTAATGAAAACCTAGAAAATAAGGCCTACCCAAAATCCTCCCCCTCAGCAACTCAATTTTGTAACCATTCTGCTTCAAGTGCTACTTGGTGTGTGCATGGAACCACATGCAGTGCTGTGCTGGCTTTTATAAAATGACTGGGGCAGTAAAGTCAGCTAGAGAGAGAGACGAGTAAGGTGGGTCAGGAGTGTTTATGTTAACTAGAAGACGTGGGGGAACCTCAGTAGGTGTTAAACAAGGCTCGCACTTATTTGTATCTATCAATCTATCTATCTATCCATTCATTCATTATTTATTTTACTTTTTATTTATTTATTTTTTTAAAATTTTTTTTTTTCAACATTTATTTATTTTTTGGGACAGAGAGAGACAGAGCATGAACGGGGGAGGGGCAGAGAGAGAGGGAGACACAGAATCGGAAACAGGCTCCAGGCTCTGAGCCATCAGCCCAGAGCCCGACGCGGGGCTCGAACTCACGGACCGCGAGATCGTGACCTGGCTGAAGTCGGACGCTCAACCGACTGCGCCACCCAGGCGCCCCTATTTATTTATTTTTTAATATAATTTATTGTCAAGTTGGCTAACATACGGTATATATAGTGTGCTCTTGGTTTTGGGGGTAGATTCCCATGATTCATCACTTACGTACAACACCCAGTGCTCATCCCAACAAGTGCCCTCCTCAATGCCTTGCATTTTTATAGATCAATGACTTTCAGCTGTGGGAAGGATGAATTTGAGGGGTATAAGCTAAAGTCAGGGACAGATCACTTAGGAGGCTATCTCAGTAATACAGTAAGATGATGAGCTTCTGTACTAAGTAAGTAGTTACAGGAAAAGAGGGGAGTAGAAATATTCTAGAATGTAGAATATTCTGGAATGCAGAATTTTCCAGAATGTAGAATGTAGAAATATTCTTTTTTTTTAAATTTTTATTTATTTTTGAGAGAGACAGAGCACAAGTAGGGGAGGGACAGAGAGAGAGGGAGACACAGAATCTGAAGCAGGCTCCAGGCTCTGAGCTGTCAGCACAGAGCCCTATGTGGGGCTCGAACTCACGAACCGCGAGATCATGACCTGAGCTGAAGTCTGACGTTTAACTGACTGAGCCACCCACGCACCCCTAGAAATATTCTTTATAAGGCAAAATCCATAGGTCTCAGAGATGAGCATGTAGAGGGAAGCATATAGGTAGAGTTGACGCTAACGCTTAGGGATGGTACCCTGGGCACATGGTAGCATCACCAGCTAAGAGAATATATAGGATCCTATGCAAAGCTTTAGGCAGGAGTCCCCAGTCACAGGCGCACAGCACAACTCTGAAAGGTCTATTGTAGGTAACTCCTCATTTTAGTAGTTGTCAGAGTTTGTGAATGACTTACTCTGTTTTCAGCCATCAGTACTGGAGATTATCTCTAAAACAGAGACATCCTCACTCATTTGCATTCCAATGCACAGTCTTAAATAGGAAAGTAGCAGCTGAATTTAAAGCCAGTAGGTCAGACACTGTGGGTAACCCCTAACCTATCTGTGCCATAACCTGTAATGCTATTTATGTTACCCATCGACGAAGACACTCGCATTCTTTTATGCTTTTTATAGATCACTGTAGCAAAGCAATTTCAAAACCAAAACTCTGAAAACACAACAGAAAAGCTCCTTCACCTGGGGCTAACAGCTTTGTCTCTCTGAACAGTGGGGATCTAATGTGTTATGCATGTGAACATCAACTATCCTTTCTCTCAAACTGGACGCCAGATGACAAACTACTGCCCAGAGGGACTTGTAAATGCGCCCCCTCCATTTGCCTGACTAATGGGCTCTTGCCTTCCAATCATCCTGTCATCAAAGAACTGCTATCTCATTTACCAGGGTCTCTCACTTCTTCTGGTCCATTGTAACCCCCCTGCCAGAGCAGCTACAGAGAGACCCCAGGCGGGGATCCCCAGTGGTTCTGGGGAGGGGGAATGATGAGACTTTCTGAGAAAGAAAAGTACAGAATCTGTCTGAATTGGAGGATTTATATGGGTGTGATCTAAGGCTGGAAATGTAGGCAACAGTGCCTTCAATATCAGGATGAGGGCTTTTTAATTTATCCTGCAGGTAAGAGGACCTTTGGGTCAAATGGCAGAGTTAGGCTGGATCACTGGTGTGAACTCAGCCCAGAGGACCAAAGGTAAATTCCTCCGTGCTTGATACACGTAGAGAACATCCTTTGTTTTCTGACCATAGAGGTATTAGTTTATGAAGCCCTCTTTTAAACTAAGATCCAGTTGTTCCTCAGTTTTGAGTCTCCTACTTCCTAACTGTCCCAACACTGGTGGGTCTACTGGCAGCTGTGGTTTCTTTGCAATCTCAGTTCAAGTTTTTCTTATCTGTTTTGAGGAAATTGCTTCTTCTCGCCTTGAACTTGCAGTTTTGCCCTGATATGCAATTGTCTTGGCATGTGACGACTTACCACAGAGCCACTCCTGGGAAATGTAAAACTCCCTTCTTCATCTGGGGACCCATCTGACAGGGCGGTACTGTTGAGAGAAGCATCATCTGTCTAGACGGAGAAAGGAAAGTACCATTCTTATTCAGGCAGACACTTCTAATGTGTTTGTGTACTGCACTGTGTGTATGTATTTAGATGTGTGTGACAACACACAAAGTCGTGGCTGCCTGGGCAGCCCTTCAGGGAACATTACCGTGAGTGCCTAAATGCGAGGCCCTCTGGCCGACACCGGACAGACGACGGCCCCTGTAGCAGGCACTGCTGTTGCCTGCCACAAACTCCCTTTGCTTTAACAATGTCTTGGTGTGGTTCCAGGGAGTTAAACCAAAGAACTTCATTTCCAGGATTCTTTGCGGCTAAGAGTGATCACGTGACAAGTGTGGTCCACGAGATGCAAGTGTAATTTTACCAAGAGGGCTTCCGGAATGGCTGAGGCTTTCCTGACCAAAAAAGAATCTGGTCAGCTCCTGTACACTCATGACAGCACCGCAGATGACAGCCTACAGTTGCCGGGTATCTTGCTCGAATAAGCATGATGGCCACGGCAAAGGATGGCAGGGGCAGAAGATCAAACCCACCTGGGTTTGTGCAAAGGTATCAGGTGAATGCCCTGTCAGACTTGGACCTCCAAATCTCCATGTGAAGCAAAATAACTCCAACACTTCCATTACACATGGCCAAACACAAACCTGTCTAATCTTACTTTTTAAACACACCCTATGATTATCTTCTGCAGTGACGAGAATTCAGCAGCAACAGCACCACGTTATGTTTATAAAGCTGGAAATAGATTTTTGCTTTAGCAGACAATGGCTTCACTAAAATTTAAGACATAAATACTCTTTTCTTTACTGAAGGAACCTTAAAATACTGTTGCTCACCTTGCTTGACCACATTTTCTAAATTTCTTTTTTTTTGTAATTTTTTAATGCTTATTTATTATTCAGAGACAGAGAGAGAGCGCTTGAGAATGGGAGGGGCTGAGAGACGGGGAGACACAGACTCTGAAGCAGGCTCCAGGCTCTGAGCCGTCAGCACAGAGCCCAATGCAGGGCTCGAACTCACAAACCGAGATATCATGACCTGAGCCAAAGTCGGATGCTTAACCGACTGAGCCACCCAGGTGCCCCTCTAAATTTCTTGTAGAGGATAGGCATTACTTTACAAGGTGAGCAAAGGACTTTTTTTTTTAAGGGACAAATAAAACACAAGAACTAGTATAAGAAATTTAAGTCAAGATGGTGAACTGACAATTATCTACCCTTCCTATCCCCAATCACTGAAATGGCAGAAAACATATAATTTCTTTAAAGGAAGACATTTTTTTTAAAGGATGACATTTTTAATAGCACTGGGAACCAGTACAGAATTATACAGCAGACCAACTCATAGAAATTTGTAGATGAAAAGAAAATAGAATTAGTTTGGTAAAATAAAAATCTTTACCCCTGAGCAGCATGAAAGAAAATTTCCAGAGAGGGAGAAGAAAAACAAACAACACAGAATTGTACAAAGACTAGGAAAGAGTCCCAGGTACATAGTTAAAAAATGTTTGCAAAATAGGAGCCAAGCAGACCAGCTCCTAAAATATGTAGACAGCCCCTAAATATGACCGAGGAAACCCTCCCAAAATGTAGTCCAAATAAAATGAACTAACTACCTTGGGCGGTGGGTTCCTATTGTGAGTATAAGGGTCTGAGAGAGAAGGAAATCAGGAGGCCACAACAAAAGTCATGGAGGGGAGACTGAAATGAAGTCAGCTTTGCCTGTAAGTAATGACTTAGGTCCTTCATCCTTCATCCTTGGCATCCTTCGCATCTGGGGACAACGTTTACCAACCTACCTGCCTCCTCTATGCACCTTAAAGCTAAGGACACTCCACTCGCTCACAAGAACACACAATCAAAATTTTGGCCTTCAGCCCCGAATAGCCAAAGTAATTTTGAAGACGAAGACCAAAGCAGGAGGCATCACAATCCCAGACTTTAGCCTCTACTACAAAGCTGTCATCATCAAGACAGCATGGTATTGGCACAAAAAACAGACACATAGACCAATGGAATAGAATAGAAACCCCAGAACTAGACCCACAAACGTATGGCCAACTCATCTTTGACAAAGCAGGAAAGAACATCCAACGGAAAACAGTCTCTTTAACAAATGGTGCTGGGAGAACTGGACAGCAACATGCAGAAGGTTGAAACTAGACCACTTTCTCACACCATTCACAAAAATAAACTCAAAATGGATAAAGGACCTGAATGTGAGACAGGAAACCATCAAAACCTTAGAGGAGAAAGCAGGAAAAGACCTCTCTGACCTCAGCCGTAGCAATCTCTTACTCGACACACCCCCAAAGGCAAGGGAATTAAAAGCAAAAGTGAATTACTGGGACCTTATGAAGATAAAAAGCTTCTGCACAGCAAAGGAAACAACCAACAAAACTAAAAGGCAACCAACGGAATGGGAAAAGATATTTGCAAATGACATATCGGACAAAGGGCTAGTATCCAAAATCTATAAAGAGCTCACCAAACTCCACACCCGAAAAGCAAATAACCCAGTGAAGAAATGGGCAGAAAACATGAATAGACACTTCTCTAAAGAAGACATCCGGATGGCCAACAGGCACATGAAAAGATGTTCAACGTCGCTCCTCATCAGGGAAATACAAATCAAAACCACACTCAGATATCACCTCAAGCCAGTCAGAGTGGCGAAAATGAACAAATCAGGAGACTATAGATGCTGGAGAGGATGTGGAGAAACGGGAACCCTCTTGCACTGTTGGTGGGAATGCAAATTGGTGCAGCCGCTCTGGAAAGCAGTGTGGAGGTTCCTCAGAAAATTAAAAATAGACCTACCCTATGACCCAGCAATAGCACTGCTAGGAATTTATCCAAGGGATACAGGAGTACTGATACATAGGGGCACTTGTACCCCAATGTTTATAGCAGCACTCTCAACAATAGCCAAATTATGGAAAGAGCCTAAATGTCCATCAACTGATGAATGGATAAAGAAATTGTGGTTTATATACACAATGGAATACTACGTGGCAATGAGAAAGAATGAAATATGGCCCTTTGTAGCAACGTGGATGGAACTGGAGAGTGTGATGCTAAGTGAAATAAGCCATACAGAGAAAGACAGATACCATATGGTTTCACTCTTATGTGGATCCTGAGAAACTTAACAGGAACCCATGGGGGAGGGGAAGGAAAAAAAAAAAAAAGAGGTTAGAGTGGGAGAGAGCCAAAACATAAGAGACTGTTAAAAACTGAGAACAGGGGCGCCTGGGTGGCGCAGTCAGTTAAGCGTCTGACTTCAGCCAGGTCACGATCTCGCAGTCCGTGAGTTCGAGCCCCGCGTCGGGCTCTGGGCTGATGGCTCAGAGCCTGGAGCCTGTTTCCGATTCTGTGTCTCCCTCTCTCTCTGCCCCTCCCCCGTTCATGCTCTGTCTCTCTCTGTCCCAAAAATAAATAAACGTTGAAAAAAAAAAAAAAGTCCTGTGCTATGATTCTGCAGAGGATTTTGAGAGCCCACAGGGCTTGTAGTTCCACCTGAGAGCGTGCTGGTACCTTCTGCCTTGTGGAACACTTTCCACCCTATGCCTCCTTGGATGGAGTCTGGGGTGGATCACCTCACCCTCTTGCTGTGACAGGATTCTCAAGGACAGTGTTATGAGGGAGACACTAGGGAAGTGGATGGGAAAAAACAACCTGGATCCATAGTCTTGGTACAAAGCTCTCTCTGCAGTGGACGCAAAACCTAAAACCTAAAACGCTTGCTGCCACCTAATGGGAGATATGCACTTTCCTGATCAGATGGTTCTCACACTTGGGCACTTCACTGTTTGTGTCACTTATTATTACACATTCTAAAAGCTGGCATTTCTCCACTTAAGAGGTTTATATTTGAAAAATAACTGGAAAAAAAAAAACCTAAATATTTATATCTTAGTTGATAGTGAAAATACTGAAAAAAAATTTTTTACATGGTAGTCTGTTGTTTTTCTGTATGAGCTTACCCCCAAGGACCAAGCTTTAGCTGACGACATCCTCCACTTGGGAGACACACACAAAAAATTAGTTTTTGCTGTTGCTTCTCCCTATAGACACTTTTTTTAAAAGATAGAATTTAGTTAGGGGCGCCTAGGTGACTCAGTTGGTTAAGCGGCCAACTTTGGCTCAGGTCATGATCTTGCAGTTTATGAGTTCAAGCCCCACGTCGGGCTCTGTGTTGACAGTTCAGAGCCTTGAGACTGCTTCAGATTCTGTGTGTCCCTCTCTCTTCTCCTCCCCTGCTCATGCTCTGTCTCTCTCTCTCTCTCTCCCTCAAATTAAAAAAAAAAAAGAATTTAGTTATTTTTGATTTACCTATTATTTCTTTCTGAGTTTATGAGCTATGGGTGATGGCCTGTGGGTAGGTTGTCTGCCAAAAATCTAAATTATGTTGCATCTTTACCCAAGAGAAATGATGAGAATACACATCCTTTATATGATATGAATGTTCATTGTAGTAACATGCATAACTGCTCAAAACTGGAAACAATCCAAATGTCTATCAACAGATGAACAGATATACCAATAGTATATTTATGCAATGGATTATTGGTAGTAATAAAAGGACCAACTTCCAACACATGCATCAAATGGATGAATCTAAAAATTATTTTGAGTGAAAAAAAGACAGACACAAGAGTACACTGTATTCATAATTCTACTTATATGGAAGTTAAAATCAACCTAAGGGTTAGAAATCAGCACAGGGCTTGCCTGGAGGAGGGGCAGGAGGAGCAGGAGGATAAGGGAAAGGGCCCCAAAGAGATTTCTGGGGTGATGGAAATTTTCTCTGTTTTGACTATCTTGTGGTTATGTGGGTAAAAACATATGTTAGAACCAATTGAATTCTATACCTAAAACACATGTATGTATTGTTTGTAAATCTACTTCAGTAAAAAAAACATAAAAATATTTTGATTCCTTAAAAAAATGTAATTCTTTGCAGTACCTGGGTGGCTCAGTTGGTTAAGCGTCTGACTTCAGCTCAGGTCATGATCTCACGGCTCGCGGGTTCAAGCCCTGCACCAGGCTCTGTGCTGACAGCTCAGAGCCTAGAGCCTGCTTCAGATTCTGTGTCTCCCTCACTCTCTGCCCTTCCCCCGCTCACTCGCTCTTGCACGAGCATGCTTTCTCTCTCTCTCAAAAATAAACATTAAAAAATATATTAAAAAAAACAAATGTAATTCTTCTCTTCAGAGTGATTTAAGGGGCTATGGCTACTCTGAACCAAGAGCCCACTGCTACAATAATGGGAAAAAAGAAGACTATGTTTACTGAAATTCAGAAAAAGAGTGAGATAAGCTACAATAATACCATCATGACCAAGAAAAAACTATTAATCTGCAACATAAAGATGAAGAAATCCAAGCAAACAGGTTAACAGGAGAGGAAATTTTGGAGGTACTGAAATTCAAGCAAAGAGACAACCATCTAACATGTGTTCTAGAAGGCTGGAAACACAGAAAATGGGGAGAAAATAATGTAAAACATAACAGAAGACAGTGTGCAGAAAGTGGAGGGAAAAAAAAAGTCCTTGGATAGAAGGAACTTGCGGAGCAATGGCCAAAATGAATGCAGTAAAGGGCAGATCCTCATGATGGTTCAGAACTCCAGTAGTAAATTCAAAATCAATTAAAAATACCAAAGTTGAGGGGCGCCTGGGTGGCTCAGTCGGTTAAGCACCCGACTTCGGCTCAGGTCATGATCTCACGGTCTGTGAGTTGGAGCCCTGCATGGGGCTCTGTGCTGACAGCTCAGAGCCTGGAGCCTGCTTCGGATTCTGTGTCTCCCTCTCTCTCTCTCTCTCTCTCTCTCTCTGCTCCTCCCCCGTTCATGCTCTGTTTCTCTCTGTCTCAAAAAAATAAACGTTTAAAAAAAAAATTTTTTTTTAAAAATGCCAAAGTTGAAAAAATTTGCACGGTGAACAAACAAACAAACGAAACCACTTACACGTAAAGGAATGAGATTCAGGTAACCAAAATAAGAAAAGAAAAACAATAATATTAAGAGTGCAACATTCAGTGAGCAATAAGAGGAATTCTGCCATAAAGGTTTTCCCTGACAGCTAAGGTCTTCTGTTAATAAGGGTCACTCATTTTACACATATTCCAATCAGGAACATCAACATGGTATTCAGAGTCTGCTGGATTAAATCCGTACGCTACAGTGGCAGCATAAAAGGAAAAAGTTAAAAGTTCATGCTAACGCTGGCAATGCGTTGTACACAGTGGTACCAACCTTGGCCTACCCACCATTGATTCCTTGTTTTGTGACTAAAACAAACTCCCACTTGTTTAAATCAAATTTCTTTAGATTTTCTTTTCCATGAAGCAAACGCAGATGTAACTGACATTTTTTAAACAGATGGTATGATGATTGTATTTTGCAGTAAATTATGAATCAATACCAAGTGTAGCCATTTGATTTCACTCACTTAAGACATTGGAAATATACTAGATGAACTGCTTTGCTTTTCGACTAGACTAACACCTCAAATGACTAATTCATTTATGTGGACTGCACATTTTATCTATACAAGGAGTGGTTTGTAGAGTAGGTTTGTTGATGGAAGACTGAGTTGTAAGACTTTTGTCAATGCCCAAATTCAGTGGCATTTGCAGTTCAGAGTCAAGGATCCACCACATATAATACATAAAAAGACTATTTCTTTACTTAATGTAGCTTGTTGCAAAATAAACACTGGATATTAATGAAATCATAATATATTATATGAACTCTGTTTTAAAGGTTTATTTAGGTATAACCTACAATTAACTGCCAATATTTAAAGAGTAAAAGCGTGCATTTTGATGTCGTTTTGAGAAATATTTAGACCAGTGAAACCATCACCATAGTCAATACAGTGAACAAAAGGAGCACACCAAAAACTTTCTTAAACCCCTGTCAAACCTTCCTTCCCTCCTTTCCTCACCCATCCCCAGGTCTCCAGGCAATCACAATCTCCTTTCCCTCACTATAGGTTAGTTTGCATTTTCCATGATTTACAGAAGTTGAATCTTTTTGGTCTGGCTTTTTTCACATGGCATAATTATTCTGAGATCCATCCATGTTGTACATATTAATAGTTCACTGCTTTTTATTGCTGAGGAATATTCCATCGTATGGATATACGAGAATTTGTTCATCCACCTGTAGGTAAAAGTGGTCGTTCCCTGTTTGGGTCTATTACGTGAGAAACATTTGTAAGTCTTTGTGGTAATATATATTACGTATGAGTAAAATGGCTGGGTTTGAAGTAGGTATATGCGTAACAGTTGAAGGTTGCCAGGGGTGCCTGGAGGCTCAGTCAGTTAAGCTTCTGACTTCAGCTCAGGTCATGATCTCCCAGTTCATGGGTTTGAGCCCCACGTGGGGCTCTGTGCTGACAGCTCAGAGCCTGGAGCCTGCTTTGGATTCTGTGCCTCCCCCTCCCTCCCTGCTCCCCCCCCCCCCCCCCCGCTCGTGCTCGCGCGGGCGCCCTCTCTCTCTCTCTCAAAAATGAATAAACATTAAAATAAATTTTTTTTAATATTTAAAAAAAAAGAAGTTGCCAAATTATTTTCCAAAGTGGATGGACCATCTTACACTACCACCAGCAGGGCAGCAGCAGATGAGAGGGTCAGTCCTGCATTTGGCAGGTTATGTAGAGACACCTCCCTGTGGCTGTATTTGCATTTCCATAATCACCAGTGATACTGAGCACCTTTCATGAGGTTAATTTGCCATCCCCATATTTTCTTTGGTGAAGCATCTGTTCAAATCTTTTTCCCATGTTAAAAGGTGAGAAAAGACCAAACAAACCTTTACCAATGGAAAGCTCGGGGTATGTTCTTGAAAGAGAAAGTTGATTTGTTTTCAAAAGTAAAGGATTTGTGTAGTTAAGTTAAGGGAATCAAAGGTCAAATACCAGCAGGGAGCAGACTGGGGATAATTTTTTTTTCTTTTTTTTTTCTTTTTTCTTTTGGGATAATTTTTAATATCAAAAGAAATCTTGTGTTATTTCTGCAAACAACCGGGGTTATATTCTGGGATTAAATGGGAAAGTTAAGTCAGATGATCCAAACTCTCTTTCCTAAAACCTAATAGAGTGAACAAAACATAACTAAAAAATAGGAAAAAAGATTCCCAGCAACATTCATATGAGGGGTGATTGGACAGAGATGTTCCAGGAATAACACAAATTCCTTTCTACAGTCCAACTCCCTCTCCATCAAAACTGCACTAATGAAGAAAGCAAATGGAGAAAATTTTGAAAAAGACAACTATCATCATGTCCAAATTAGGAGAGAGGACAACCAAAGGTGTGAGTCACCACAGGTGAGCTCAATACATGCACATTCAAACAAAGACTCCCCTGCACCATCTCAGCAGGGAGGAGGGAACCTATTGGGATTCCCCATTCTGCCTTTTGCTAATCTGGGAGGAAGCCAGGACAGGGAACATGAGCATGGAAAAACAAAAAAGAAAACACTACACAACCTCCACCAAAGGAGAGAAAAGACTGCTTGAAGGAGTGTACATAGAAACATGTGAGAAAAGGCTCTGGGCTGAACCGTGAATAAAGTAAACTTTCCTGGTTGTAAATGGATATAAGCTTCTTGTGAGACCCTTCTTGTGAGGCTTGCCTGACTTTTCCCTCCTCTGGGTCAGCTGGGAGAAGAAGTGGGGATGGGTAAAAGTAGGGAGAGGGAGAAGGGAAAAAGGCACTGGATACCTGGGATTACATGTATGGTCCGAAGAAAGGTGCCTGGTATTCACCCTGCACTGGGAAAACAATAGAAAACCTGAGGACACCTGCTTCTCCTCCAACAGATGGACCTATGACTCGATGGAACTAGCACTTATGAGAATTTTTTTAAATAAAAGAAAAAACAAAGAAACTAAATCTGCCCCAGAAACGGCCTACCATCATTGGTTTTCTGGGTATTTATCTGTTTTTATAGAGCATGCAATTATTTGTGAGCTTAACTATTAAACTTGGGTTTGTTTACTGCTGAATGTTTTCCTATAAATTGATTAAAGGTAGATAGGTATGTTGACAGCTGTGGCTGTCCAGTCATCTTAATTACGGTGCACTGTTTTGAAGTTTTGCCTGATTGTCTTGGGGAAAAAAAATGGCCTCTTCATTCATCCCTACTCCCAACTTTCCTGCTATAACTTACCAAGGAATCACTTGTTTTCATAACTCCTGGCAGCTCTTTTTCCTCCTGGGGACCATCCAACTGAGCAGTATGATTGTCACAGGTATCACCTGGCTAATAAGAGAAACGAAAGCCATTTTTATTCAGGCATATCTGTCCCAACATGACTGTTTATTCAATTATTCATTACACAAACTCTATAAATGGATAGCCATGTGGTGATATACAGAGTTAATGACTGACCTGTGCAATGTCAAGGGCATTTGCCAATTCATCCACAATTATACTGATCCTCATAAATACTGTGTACTATGGCAGAAGTTGGTCTCAAGAGCAGACACTGTTAATTAATTACCTGCCAAAATCCACTTTTATTTCCTTCTTAACTTACGAATATCATGATCTGTTCCAAGATGCTACATCTAAACTAAAAAGACTAAAGTGTGGTCATGTGATGGTTATGACCAATGAGATACAAGTAAAATCCTACTTGGTAGAGCATCCAGAAAGGCTAGTATTTTCTTGTTTAAGTGGATAGAATCTGCTGGCTAATGCTTCTTCCAGAACATGGACATGATGCCCGTGATGCCCAGGCATTAAATATAAGCCTATAAGCATTAAATATAAGCCCACATGCTGCGTGGAGCAGAATGGAAAGATGAAAAAGTCGGTAGATTCAGGCTAGGGATACCAGCCACACCAGCCTCAGACGTCTTATTTTATAAGGACAATAATCTCTAATTGTCTAAGTCATGCAGCTTACTGATAAAACTATGCTACTTTAAAATCAGACTTTATGACTTTTGGTAATGACTTATAAATCAGCAAAAGTAGTCAGTTTTTTTTTTCAATTAAGAAACTGGAAATACAGTAGATTGATGGTCTCACAAATACACGTGACTGAACCAAACATTTCATTCCCATTCACTGAATATATAAAAGCTCTGATTTTCATTATGCAGCAAGTATATTTGGAGACTATTCCAATTGTGATCGATGGCATTATAGGCTTTGTGCATATGCTCTAAGATTTTTAGCAGCACTTGTGATATAATGGCATTCCCCCAAATAAGATGCAATTCTTCTATTCTATGATTGAAGCAACACTGTGCCAAATTAAACACACTGGATGATAGTGAAATCATAAACTTCTACATAAAACTTCAGAAACTGTTATTTTTCATCTTGCTTTTCCATATTTTCTAATTTTCCCCCAAAGTGTACGCATTATATTCCTAAGAAAAACATACATCTGTTTTGAAGTAAAAACAATGCTAATGAGGCAATACAAGAAGCCAGGTCAGGACAGAGGACTGAGGGCACACCACTCCCAATCACTCAGAATTAGAGAACGGGATTGTAAGACCAGCTCCAAATGGCACTGGAAACCAACAAGGTGTACTAGTAACAGGTGAGAAATTGTTAGAAATTCCTGGGGAATAAAACAAAAATAACGTATTTCATAATGGCACAGATTTTAGCCTAAGAACAGCATAAAACAACACTGCTGGCAAGGAAAAGATAAATCTACAAAAAGCAAACAGACAACCAAGTAACCTCAGTGTGAAAATTAGAAAGGGTAGGATGGGGCCCTAGCGGAACAGCTGCAATAATTTATCATAAAATGTTTTGTCAATGGAGAGGCCAGACAGACCTCCCAAAAGCTCCCTTTACACTGAACAGCAGGCAGCAGCTACAAGCACTCTGGGTCCAGTGAACCACCTGCCATGGGTAGTAGTCTGGGATCAGAACTAAAACAGACCTCAGTATCAGGTTACTCTGGGCCACCATGAAAGACATGAAAGGGAGAATAATGGGAAAACATCAGTTTTGTCTTGGATAGCAAGAAATGAAATCATTTACCACTTCTCCCTTTGGTGTATGCTTGCATATGTGTGTGTGTGTGTGTGTGTGTGTGTGTGTGTGCACGTGCGCGTGCACACATGAGCATGCATACTCACCCATATATACAGTGAAACTAACTCCCATTCACACAACGTTCACATACCTTACTCACTTACACAGTACCAGAAATCAGCCTTCTTATTCGATAAAGAGTCCTTTGGGAAAATATCTATATCATGGCAGAGAAATCATACAGCAATGACATATCCTAAGTAATTAATTAGTCAATCTAGTCCATTAATAAATATAAGTCAATCACTAAGAACCATCAGGCACCGGAGAAAATCAATGTTAGGAAAAAGTCACTCGTGGAGAAAAAAAAAAAACATTCTAAAAAGGTACCATGATAAACATTCTGTGAAAAAGAACTGAGAAAAGGGAAAAGGCTTAAAATGAATTAATTTCAGAAATATTTGAGAAAATATTGCAACCATAAGTCAGGAGTAACTATAAAAATAAAGGGAAGTGAGTGAAAAAGGAGTTCTTGTCAATTAGCAGTATGACTACTGAATTAAAAAATCAATAGAGGCTAAATTATAACCACTCATGGCTAAAAGGAGAATCAGGGATTTACAAAATGACATAGACAAAATCTACTAGCATACAGAACAGAAAAAAAAGACAAGGAAATATAACAATTTAAGAAATATAGAAGTTTAATATAGAGGCAATAAAAGGAAGAATAGAGAAAATGGAAATGATGAAATAATTAAAGAAATTCTGGGAAGAGAATGGTCATAACTGAAAGAAAAGTAATGTTTTTCAGAAACAAAAAGCTGAGCACTGATCATGATGAAAAAAAAAAAAGATTTCATATCCTTATGGCAGTTCAGGTTTCTAACACTAAAGATAAATTTAAGGGGCACCTGGGTGGCTCAATCAGTTGACAGGCCATGATCTCAGGATTCATGAGTCTGAGCCCCGCAAAGTGTTCTCTGCTGTCCGCACAGATCCTCTGTCCCCCTTCTTCTCTGCCCCTCCCCCGCTTGCACGCATACATGTACATGCTCTCTCTTAAAAATAAAAACAAAACATCAAAAAAAAGATAAATGCAAAAGGCTTCCAGAAATGCAAAAATGAAAGGATACAAAATAAGATGTAGAGAGAAATCAAACTTCTCAACATTAGCACTATATGAAAAAGCAAACATTAATATTTAAAAATTTCTGAAAAATTAATTTAGGGCCTAGCACTTTGATACTCACCAATTTAGGATTTAAGTTTTTATTTTTTTAAATTCTTTTTTTAATGTTTGTTTGTTTGTTTGTTTATTTATTTATTTATTTTATAGTGAATATAACTTATTGTCAAATTGGTTTCCATATAACACCCAGTGCCCATTCCAACAGGTTCCCTCCTCAATGTAGGGTTTAAGTTTTTAGGTATGAAAATTTAGTATCCAGAGAGATTTCTTGCCAGATTCGCTCAAAGGATAAAAGGTACAATCTGCTAAGAAGCCGTAACAGTTTGTAATACGTACGATTATGCGAATTAATATTTTTACTGTTCTCTGTAGTCATTCTGCTATGTTAGCCCTCACCATCCTCCTGGGAGAAAGAATGGTACTCCCTTTCTCATTCTATAAACTGCTCAGTAGTTCAGAGCAGGGCCTGGAATAAAACTTTAATGTCCCCTTCCGTCTTACTGCTAGATTTCTTCGATTGTTCGGCACCACAGTTGCCCCTTGATTCACCTTTAAAAGGTGATAAGACCTTCCAGGAATTGAAATAAAAAAAATAGTGAAAAAAGGGAAAAGAAACAAAATAAGCCTAGACAATCACGGGAGTCCATGGTTAGGATGGTGTGTTAAGTGTGGCAAGTAAGACTTCAAATAAGCCTCTCTTACGTGCTGCCTTGACACCTGGTAAAAGCAGAAGGGCCATAAATGGTCTAACTACAAGCCTCCGTCCCACTCTGCTCCATTATATAAGGTCCCCTAGCAGAACAATGCTCCTTATCCAGGAGGCCAGACACAATTCCTGCTTATCCTTCAGTAGTGGGTTTCAGTTCCCCATCAGCCTGTGGAATTATTCAAACAAGCCAATCACATCCCCCCATGGGAACCAAGGGGAGCCGTGCTCTCTTGATACTATACAGCCTGCTTGCTACAACCCTTGGTTATTCACTCTGTTCCCAAGTGCACCCCACATGTAGCTCTGTGTGGTGTCTGGTGTCCTCCTAACCCAAGCTGTGAGAACATGTGACAATAAATTGCTGTTGACCTTCTCTGTCCGTTGTCAGGTGTCAAGCCACCCCTATAACCCTAGGGTGGGAATCCCTCTCTTACCTACAGGGTAAAGAGGAGGCGATTAAAAGAGAAGATAGAGTCAGCTAGGGTGAAACCTCATAGAAATCCATCATTTGAAAACACTAGTGTCTATTCTACATGCCCCTCCTCTGATGGTCCGAGGAGTCAGGGGCAGACAGAGAGGAATCACAACTCAGATCAAGTGTCCTGGTTGGAAGTAAGGTATGTAAAACTCCCTGTAATTCAGGAACAATCTAAAACCTGAGGACACTTGCTGCCAGCTCAACAGAAAAAGTAAAGACTTCTGACTAAACGGAGTTAACACTTCTATGAGAAATATAATGAAATTGGAGGGAAAAACAATTAGAGACAAAATCTACAAAATGGGATTGCTCCCAGCTCCAGCTAACCACATTCCTCCTCCAGAACTTGACCTACCCTCAGGCAACAGAGGAGCAGCCAGAACACTGGGCCACATCCAAACCCTTAAGCAGCATTTGCAAGCGACAAAGGGCTAGCCTGTATTAGGACAATTTTTTGAGATCCAGACAGAATGTCCTACATAAAGTGTGTATAAAATGAAAATAAACTGTACAGAAACTAAAGATCATCATCAGCATCATTATTCATCAGATCAAAAATGGTACAAGGGTCATTCTTAAAACAGCAAAAGAATCCCTCTTCCTCTACTAGGAAGGAAAAAAAAAAGTACAGCTAAAGAGAAGGAAACATGAGTCATACCAGAGGAAAGTCTCTCACCATAAATTTCTGCTGCCATGAGTCCAAGTGGAGGCAGATGTCAATAACTCCATGTCTTTCTACGTCTCCTACTCTGGGCATCTCACTTCAGTAAGATGACCTAGGCCTTAGGCCAAATGGTACAGATGATGGCACAGGCCTTCCACTGAGATCACTTCATTGGCAGTGATGAGCTCAGGTTAGCCCTTTTTGAAACTTTGTACTAAGACAGACAAGGTGGGCTCCAATGAAAGGTGTTTACCTCCTGTGCTAGATAGTGCACTTTCCCCACCTCCTGTTACACATTGAAGATGTTACGGTGCTGTCCCCCAACAAAATATCTACCTGTAGAAAATAACTGAAACGTCAAGTATTTCATATGTAGAGAACTAAATTAGTATTGACAGATACATGGAGAGTAGCAGAAGGTCTTCCACTACGTGTTCAGCAAAAAGAACCAAAGTTTAGCTGATGACCCCGCTGACATTTTGACTTCTGGCTGGGGCTGGAACTGCAGCTGTGGTTTTGTTACTCGAGGTGCAGACAGGCCACGGAGTTATTTGTGGATTTAACTATTTAATTATTCATTCCTGAATTTAAGAGTCTTTGTTTCCTTCTTTGTGACAAGGCAAGTAGGCATTTTGCTCAAGTTCTCCCGACTGCCTTGAAATAATTACTTTTTCTAACCTCTTTACTTTCAAGTCCCCTTGCTTTATCTTACCAGTTGACCATTTCTGCAGGGAATTGCTGATACCACTTCTTCATCCAGGATCATTTCCAAAAGAGGAGCTGGGATACAACAAAAATCATCTGGCTATTGAGAAAAATGAAAGTGCATTTTTATTCAGGTATCTTCTCCCCAGTGTCATTGTACATTCAGTCATGAGCTCTGCATGACATGTGTCCATTCACACAGACGTGTGGGGACATCCATAGATTTGCCTGCTGTGCACTGATCACCGCATGTAGCCATCCATCAGCCAACACTGAGAGCCCACTACATTCGGGGCACGACAGACACTCTGGTCTCTGTGGAGTATGTTGTCAGCTGTTTACTCCAAATCCAGTCACCTGCCTTCCTTAACAGGATCCTGATTTTTTTTTTCTTTTTCAGGGACTTTTGTGTCCAACTAAAAAAGGTCAATTTCTTAGGCTCTTTTGAAGCTAAGGATGATCATAAAACATTTCCGGGCAATGAAAGGTACTGGAATTCTACAGAGTAAGATTTCCAGGACACTAAGGTTGGGGAGACATAGTAAGATGGTACAAGTTCCAGGACCATGGATATAGTGCTAGAAGTAGCCGGGCCAACTTGTAAGCAGAAGGATGAAGGTTGCATATGAATGACAAAATAGGAAGACAGGAGGAAGATGGATCCATGCTACTGCAAAGGAACACCTACCTTACCTTCTTAAAGAGAGAAAAATACACCTGTATTTGTACAACTCATGATTTCTTGGGTTTTCTGTTACATGTAGTAACAGAAATGTATATACAGGTGATATAATCAAGTTTTTAAAAACAGGGTGCGTGACTATATTTAAACAATTATGTCAGTCCCACCTCTGACTAGTTGTTTATCAATTATGAAATTGGAAATAAATTAGGCTGACTATTTTACTCAATTAAATGTGTTACTGAAAGGAACGTTTGATTCACATCTTCTAAATATTAGAAACAAATATATTTGGGTCCCAGAATTCTGCGCATGATGAACAGTACTGCAGATCCTGTCACATACATCCAGAGGCTGATTTAGTATTTGTGATTTAGTGCATAATAGCTCTACTAACACAGGGGTTAAATATTTTATTCCTTTACAGTTAGAATTCCACTGAAAACTTTATTTATTGGATATTTAATTAAATCATAAAATTTTATTTGGGCCCATAGAAAGAGTCATTTTTCACCTTGCTTGTTCATATTTCCTAAGTTGCCAGTAAAGATTATGTACTATTTTTATAATAAGGAAAAACACATTTTTTGGAAGGAACAAATATTACTGAAGAATCAGCACAGAACTGGGTCAAGATAGCAAAATGAACATACTGCTTTCTCCTCCCCCCACAAATCACTCAAAGTGTCAAAAGAGATACCTTTTTCAAAGAGGAGATCTAGAAACCACTAAACATTTCCATTAGCAGAACAGAAATTGTTGGATGTTCCTGGAAGATAAAAAGCAAGCAAGAATGGCTTGATAAGGGTAGAGGGAAACCTCGGCCTGAAAAAAGTTACAAGAGAAAAACATATAGAAGATAAACGCTCATCTAGAAAAAAAACACATAATCAACATTGAGAATAAAGAGAGCAGTAAGGCATCCCCAATTCAGAGGCCAATGGCCAAAGTGACCGAAGAATGTTTTTCTGAACAAAGCAGCCAGGAGAGCTTCCCTCCCTCTAACACTGAACAGCGGGCAGCAGCTAAGTGCGATTCCAGGATAAAACCCAACAAGTGTCCTCTTGTTGACAACATGACCACTTGCTTTGGCGGGGCGGGGTTGGGGGGGGGTGTGTCCTGGTATAGTGGTCCTGGACAGAAAGTTAAATTGCCCTTCATTGGGACCTTCTGAAAGCACACAGGAGTATAAAAAGGCAAGTTAAGCTTGCCTGAGAAGCAAAAAAAAAAAAAAAAAAAAAAAAAGTAATTCTTTAAGATTATCATTACTTTTGCATTGATACTATATTTGTGTGTCTTTAAAGTGAAGTGTGACAGCTGACTGACACATTTCACCACTCACACAGGTCCAGACTGTTATCCACTAGGAGAGTTTTAGGGAGAAAATAAGTCTACGTAACTGCATAGGAAATATACAGTCATTACCTATACTCATCAATCAATCAATCAATCAATCAACCTAGCCCTGCATTAATAGGAATTAACACCCAAATATCCAAAATCAACTGAACAATAGTAATGTAATGATGCCAAAAGTAAGCAGATGACCCTGAAGAAAACAGTAATTCAAGGAAAAGAAGACCACCTTGGAATTTAAGGTTTAGGGCTATTGCAGCCAAGAAACAAGAATAGATCACTAAAATAAAGAGGAAGTCAGGGGAAAGGAGATGCCTCAGCAAATTAACAATACAGCTGTTAATTTTTTTTTAATTAATGAAAGGCAGAAGTATTGATACCACCATGAATATACGATAGTATTATGGTATTACAGTCAGTTACGGATATAAAAAAATGAAGTGGAAAGGACAGCCACAGATACACACAAACCAAGCCCGGAATAACAAGAGAACATTTAAGAGATACTGAGGTTCAATCCAAACAATGCAACAATCATCTAACGGGAGTTCCAGAAGGAGATAAGTGACAAAAGGAAGGGAATAAATACTGGTTTTAAATGTTAGAAGGCAATATGCAGAACCTGAAGAATGAATGAGCTCTCATATTGAAAGAGCTCTTTTAGCGGTGACTAGGATGAATGTTTTCAAAAGGTAAAACTGGTGAAATTGCAAGGTTCCGACAATAAACATAAAGTTCAAAAAACTTCCACATTTGTATATAAAGGAACTCATTCCTCATTGCTGGAGATACTGTGCTTCCCATAGACCAACAGTACACGAGAGAAGATAATGAACGAGTAGCTCCAAAATTCTGGAGGCAAATTATTCTGAGCATGGGATTCAGTGTGCAAAATACATTAAGAAAAGAGGAGTGTAATCTACATATCTATCTTTTAAATTACTGAATTTATATCTTCACTAGGTAAGTACACGGGGTCAGATTCACATGCCTAAGATTAATGCAAAATTACCTTATGACATTTATGATGTTAAATCTTCGTTAAGAAAATGAAATGGAAACTTTAGGTGATTTTCTATTAATGTACGTAAATGATGACAAAGAAAGAAACAGCGTAAGAGAGGATATGTGGTGGTGGGAGGGGGGAGACAGAGAGAGAGAGAGGCCTATAGAGACAGGGGAAGTGAAGGAGGGGGAGACATTGAGAGAGACAGACCAGAGCTGACAGATACTTTGGGCAAGAGAAGGAGGGAGGGATGAATTGGTATTTATGCTGTCAAATTCAGATAGGAAATTTTAAAAGTTTAGGTACTTTTCTAAGAAACTTCCAAGTCTACTTGCAGAAGCAGATGCTGATTTTTTTTTTTTTTTTTTTTTAGGAAGAAAGTCTGTGAAGATGTTTATTAGGCCTGATAGACCTGTAAACTTACCATATTTTTTTAAAACGCTAGATTTATATATTTTTTATGAAGAACAATCTGAATTTTGTAATGCCAGGCTTTCACTGACTTCCAGGTGCTGCGCTTCTATGGACAGCACAAAGACCTCTGCTCCCTAGAATGTATGGATTTCTTTTCAACCACTCTCCCTGTTGCACACCCATTCTCTATTCACTTCAGAACTGGGGCTTCAGCAGCAAGACTGGAAGGGAGAAGAGGAAGGTGGGCAGGGGGAAGAGCCCCGGGGGAGCATTCCCTTTATTTACCACAAATATGGTCCTTAAAGCCCCAATGAGTAAGTGTCCACTTTATACTTCCCTTTAGGGTCTGTGGGAAGACCACTGTTTCTATGCATCTAGGAGTCCTAAGTTTTTGGAAACCTAAAGACACACTGAATGCACTTTCTTCAGTACCTGCAGGATTCGGAGAAGCTATAGTTAGTTAACTGTTTTGCAATTTGCTAGGGAAGAGCAAAAATCTTAGCCTGAAGTAGTTGGAAACAGAAATAAGAAAGGATGCATGTAGGTCAAGTTGTTAGGATTCTCTGAAGACGATCTGGGACATACATGTGAAATGACTTAGGGAATTTAAACCAGCAGGGTAAACCTTTTCTTTCATAGGCACCTTGGCCAGGACTCACATGGCTGAAGCCCTTGCTTCAAGTTGTGGGTGTTACCTTGACTCAACTACAGCAACAGAAAATCTCACTTCCAAAAAGGTACGGGTTTCAGCTAGATTGAAAGTTCGATCAGCACAGAACTCAAAATGCACTGCCTCAGGTATATAATTATGTACAACAGAAGATTCTAGAACTGTACTGCTCAGTACATTAGCTGCAAGCCATATGTGATGATTTAGATTTAAATTAATTAAGATTAAACAAAATTAAAATTTCAGTTCCTTACACTAGCTACACATTGGACACACTCTAGCTACCCATATTGGACAGCACAGAATTAGATCATTTATTTCCATCACTAGAAAGTTCTCAAGGACACTGCTATTCTAGGGCATTATTAACACAAACGCAAAGGTTAACCTGGAAATGTGAGCTACCCTGGCAACTACCCAGTGTGATGAATATATCTAAGAGAAGACTGGACTTACAGAAAACCTAAAGTAACTCAAAGTGGAGGGTGCCTTCAACCAAGCCTCCTACCCAAATATCCTTGAAGTTTTAATTTATGTCATTATTGATATTACAATTAAACAGATAAGAAATGTAAATCAGAGTGATTAACTAACTTGCCCCAGGCAACTCTCTGTAACTGCAGAAGAATATCCAGTTTCTTTTTTCTACAGACTAATTATCCCCCAAATTTGAGAATCCTATTTGCATAGAGCCTAATATAGGATCTTGCACAGAGAATGTATCCAGTAAGTATTTGTTGCATCAATAATGCAGTTATTGATTTCAGTGATGCAATGAGTGAATAAATAAATGAGTGGTAAGGCAGAGCTAGCAGCAAAACCGTCCTAGCAATAAGAGAACATGACTAACACCATCAGAAGTAAAATTTGTGGCCATGGAATTGCTAAGAGTAAGCTGGAATTTCAACTAGCCATTTCTCAGAAAACATGTGATGCTTCCCTTATGGTTTTTTGAATCACTCTCTTGCCCACTTAATTAATGTTGGCATCTTTCACTTTTTACCATTTTAATTTGAACACAAAGGCTACCCTACTCACTCTCCCACTCCAACCTCCATTTAAAATTAACTACCCGAACTTGCTTAGAATACTTTGGGCCCACTTCTCTGGGGCTCCTTTGCCTGTCCACAGAATTTCCATTCAGTGTTAGATTTAAGAAAGGCTCTGTGTATCCCATCTATAAAGATTTGCTCCATTACCAAGTAAGATATTCTCCAACTCAACCAAGAAGGAATAAAAAAGTGTTGAGGGAGGCTGCTGTAGAAGGAATGATCGCTTAAGTTTCAAAGTTGTAAAATTTGCACTCTTCTGTCTGCTTTAGTTTTCTCTAAAAGAGAATGGCCAACTTTTTCTAATATTTTTTTCACGTTCTCCCCATCGCCCCTAAATCAAAGCAAAACTTTTGAGCCAAGTTCATTACTTACAGGAGATTCGCTGACTCCAAAGATGTCTCTGACATCCCTAACAGATTGCTTGTTCTTTTTTCTCATGGTTTGAGTGTAAGTATTGTATCTCTTTTTCACTGCAGCTGCTTGGGTTCGAGTCAGCGTAGAGAGCAAGGCTTTGCCATCCTCCTCTTCATTACCCGAGATCAAGGTTGATAAACCCACATCTTGCAACCACTCTGCTTCGAGTTCTCCTTCTGTCAAATAACATTACCAAGGAAAGGTCAGAACATTCTCCATTTAATTAGATGGCATGTATATCTATAGGCCTGTGCATATCAGTGAATAAATAGTAAACACTATATTAAGACCAATCTTGGACCCTGAGGGCAAGTTAGGTGAAATAAATCAGACAAAGACAAACACCATATGATACCACTTCTATGTGAAATCTTTAAAACACACACACACACACACACACACACACACACACACACACGCAAGCTCACAGATACAGAGGTAGGTGAAATGAGTGAAGGGAGCAAAAGGTACAAACTCCCAGTTATAAAATAAAAAAGTCATGAGGATGTCATGTACAGCATGGTGACAATAATAGTTAATAATACTGTACTGCATATTTGAAAGTTGCTAAGACAGATCTTAAACATTGTCATTGTAAGAAAAAAAAATTCTGTAACTATGGTGATGGATATAAACAAGACTTATTGTGGTGATCACTCTGCAATGTATACAGATATCGAATCATTATGTTGTACACCTGAAACTAATGTTATATGTCGACTATACCTCAATTAAAAAAAAAAACACCATCCTTTTTTCCAGGGTAATTGTGGGAAAGGCCTACAGGAATTAATGAAAAGTCTGTATGATATTTTTTAAGTAAGTCAAATTTTAAAGTATTTTCTGAGAGAGTAAGGTTAATTGGCCTATTTAGTAAGGTAATTTTCCTTGCCAGAAAGTTAAATCTAAGCCATATCTGGACTTCCAATTTCAAACAATGATAAAATATGAATACTTAAACTAAAACCATAATAGAATAAGAATGGCTTAGTGGGGTAGGAAAAGGTTTTTCAATCACTCAAATGCTGGTTCAAATCCCAATGACGCCATTTACTAGGCAAACAGCTTTGGAAAGTTTTTAGATATCTCTAGGCTTCTGTTTTGTTGGCAAAATGGAGGTAACAAGATGTACTAGGTGGCTATGATGATTGTTGTATCAATTTATTCATGATAGATGGCAAAGAATCTGGAACAGAGCATGAATTCAATAGATACTCATTCTCTTTTCTACATAGTCTGAACATTAGGTAAGTAATCTTTCCTTTTTTTCAGAAGTCAATTAAAAAGTTTAAAATTCATCATAATAAGGGTTAACTGATATTGAAAATTACATGTGCAGAAATAAAAAAAATTAAGAATAACAACATCATGGAACAGAAAATCCACTACAGATACATTTCCGGGAACTATGCTAAACAGGCATTACCTGAATGAGATTTGTTTAAAGAGCAGATCAAATTGATTTGCAAATAGCCTGTCAAATCATCAGTCTAAGAGGCTTGGACCCTGCTCACATTATTGTATCACATAAACAAAGCCTTCTAAATGCACTTTACAGGAACTTCTCAGCGAGGCAATTTTTTTTTTTTTTTTTTTTTTTGGTTATTTTGTGTGTGTGTGTGTGTGTGTGTGTGTGTGTGTGTGTGTGTATGTTTATTCATTTGCTTTATAAGTTATCCCTTTAACAGAAAATGCAAAGGTAAACATAAACTTAGCAGCTCTGATCCAAAATAATAAACATTTTAAATTAGTCAGTTATGACTTGGAAATTGTCTTTTACTTAGGCCACAGATAAGATTTTCATTTTTTTAAGACAAAATTTACAAATATAGTTCAATATGAAAGTTTTAGAATTTGGATTTTTTCCCCTCCAACTCTGTAAGCAGTAATGAAAGAGTAGATGGAAGGAGTTAGAATTAACAGACACTGGGGTGAAGATGATCTAAATCCTTGGACTCAGACTACAGAATCTGCAGAACATATATTTTCCACAGGAAAGAAATGTCTTTGAAATCAATATTACTCCTGTAACATTGCTGAATTATGGAATCACAATCCTGTGCTCATTCCTCCAGTTACCAAATGTATAACTTTCACATAGAATACTCCTTTGAATTTCAGCTACATCTATCTATTCAACTACCTACTCAACAGTTACTTGACTCTATCAGTCGCACACCACACTCAACAAGTTCAAACCTGAACACATATTCTTCGTTCCCAACTCTAGGCCTCTTTCAGTATTCCACATTTCAGTAAGTGAAACCCACAGTCCATCTAATTTAGCAAAGTAACTAACCTAGGACATGTTCTTGACATCTCCCTCCTTTACACACAAATGCAATATGTCACCAAGTCCTTTTTTTTTATATTTATTTATTTTTGAGAGAGAAAGCGCAAGCAGGGGAAGGGCAGAGAGAGGAGGGGGACAGAGTGGGTTCTGCTCTGAGCACAGAGAGCCCAATATGGGGCTTGAACTCACAAACCTTGACCCGAGCCAAAGTCGGATGCTCAACCAAATGAGCCACCCAGGCATTCCTATAATCAAGTCCTTTTGATATTAATTCCTTATTATTTCTCAAAAATTTCCACTTTTATTTGTCTTCTGCTCTGACCTTGGCCCAAACTACCATCATCTCTCACCTGAACTACTGCAGTTGCCTCCCAGTTTTTCTTCCCATTCTTGATTCACCCCTCCAATCCATGATCCATATTGTAACTAAATCAGACCTTTCCAAATGCAAATAGAAGCCCTTTCCTGAAAGGTCACAGTTCTTCCTTGCTCTTGGGATTAAGAATAAAACACTTGGGCCGCCTGGGTGGCTCAGTCAGTTAAGCATCCGACACTTAATCTCAGCTCCTGTCTTGATCTCAGGGTTGTGAGTTCAAGCCCTGCACTGGGCTCCGCACAGGGAGTGAAGCCTACCTTTAAAAAAATAAAAAAATAAGCAAAATAAATAAAATAAAATCCTTCACACGGCCCACAGGACATGAAGCTGTTGACCTTTCCGGCCACAGTGTGTACCATGCTCTCTTCATTCTCCCCTCACTGACAGTACTTGTCTATGTTTGGTTCCTCAAAAGCCCCAAAAAGCCCCATTATATATTTTGTTACAAGGCCTTTGGACATGCCAACCCTTCTATTTGGACTCCTAATAATTGTCCATTCAATCTTTTAGATCTCAATTTATATATTTCTTTCTCAATGAAGTCTTTTTTTCCTGAATCCTTCAATCAGTCGGGCCCACTGTTACCCATCCTAATCCTGCTGTGTGTCTTTTTCTTCAGATAACTTTTCTCCCAACAGACATCTAGTTATATCATTTCATTAGTTATTTTTTTCCTCCTAGGTTATAAGCTCCATTAGAGCAGGGCATTTCTGCCTTTGTTTATAACTCTAACACCAACATTTTGCAATGCCTGTGAGAAGCAGGTACATATATTTGTTGAATTAATTAAATCCCAGTTGAAATATTTAATTATTCTAAGTAGAAAATGAAGAATGCAAAACATCAACTTTCAAAACTGAATGTAGCTGTCACACATACCATTCTGTACTAAAAATCCACCTAGTTAGTAACTTTGTTAGAGAAAGATACCAAAAAGGGAATAAAATTTTCTAGTAAAATAGAGTAGCTCGTAGAGAAATAACAGTTCTGCGTATAACAGTTATGAACTCTGAACTAAGTACATAAAATAACTATTTGAGGGTAATGGAGAAGAACCAAGTGTAGGCAGAAACTGAAAAATAATTAAATTTTGATACAAGAAAATGTACTGTGTGAGATTTGTATCTATACAACTTTTCAACTGAGTCCTTTCCCAATCCCTACATTACACCAGGGGTAGAACACAACTGAAAACCACAGTCTTATTTATTTGAAGAGTCAGGGGATGCAATAAGGGATTATTACTAGGACGGCTGGAAAGTGAGGGGCACATTCCTGTTAGGAGGGAGCCACACAGGACAGAGCTCCAAAATCTGCACAAACTCTGATCAAATCCTTAACTAAACATTAAACCAAAAAGGCATATGTGAGACTCCAGCATCCTATTGAAAAACAGCAGCCAAAAGGGCTAAAATAAATGAGCAAGGTTACAGAGAGTGCATAGAGCAGAAAAGATGGTGTTGTGAGGATGAGTCCAATCTATGAAAATTGCTATGAAATTAACTCCCTTTAGATGAAGATAATGAGATACAGAGTCTCTGAAAGATATCAACAATGTTATAATATTACATTCTCAATGATGTTACAATAGGTAGGATATAATAAAAAGGAAAGCAAAAAAAACCAGACTAATTTGTCAAGAGAAAAGGTCATCAATAAAAAGTGACTCTGAGAGGACTCTGAAGTTGGACAAGGACTTTAAGGAAAAAATTATCATGAGGGAATAATTAATTCCAGCAAAGAAATGAAAAAAAAAATGAAACTAAAAAATCTAAAATTCAAATTATAAAATTAAAACATATTAAATTTTAAAAATTGCTGTAAAGGCTTAATGGTGTATTAGAGACTTTAAAAGAAAGGACTGGTAAACTTGAAGATGAAATCAGTAGAAATTATTCAATCTGAAAGAGAGAAAAATATTTTAAAATATTTAAAACAGAGACCAAGGGACCTATTGGGAATGGTTAAGTATTGTCATATATGTATACTTTGAGTTTCAGAAAAGAGAGAGAGTAGTGAAGAAAAAAACATATTTGAAGAAATAATATCCAAAGTTTCCAAAATTTGTTGAAAAACCAGTTAGCTTAACTAATACAAAGTAGGTCAAATACAATAGAAAACTGCACTTAGGCATCCTAAAGAGAACCTGCTGAAAACCAAAGAGAGAAAATTTGAAAGCAGTCAAAGAGAACATATTACATATAGGGAAGCAACAATATGAAGGCACTGAGCCCTTATTAGAAGCAGTGAAGATCAGAACATAGTAAGATGATGTTTAAAAAATCCTGAATGAAAATAAAAACCTGTCAACCAATAATTATATGTCTAGCAAAAATATCCTTCAAGAACAAAGGTAAAATAGTCATTATCACATGAATGAAAACTAAGAAATGTATCACCAGCAAACTTGCTCTGTAATATATGCTAAAGGAAGCTCTTTAGGGTAAAGGGAAAAGATGTCAGACGGATACTGGATATCAAAAAAGAAGTAGTGGAGGGGCACCTGA